CCTTGCCCAAACGCGGGAGGACATTCCCCATCCTGCCAGCTGGCGGGATCCGTCCATGAGAAGTGGTGACCCCGGTGTCTCTCAGGGCCAGTGGTGCACGGGGGCTGCCTCCCCCCGCCCTGGCTCTGCCTGTGGAGGGGCTTTGGGGCCATGCTGGGGCCTGCTGGCTGCTGGGGACATCTGCCATGGCTGCGCCCGGGGAAATTCCCCGGCTTTGCTTTGGGATGGCGGTTTGAGTCCGTGCGATGGCGTGGCGCGTGCTGACGGCAGACCCTTTGTGCTTGCAGAGGACTGCCTGCGAGGGGACGCTGCCTACGTGTAAGTAGCTGGTTGCTGCCTGGTGGAGCGGAGCCATACTGGTCCCAGTGTGGTCCCGGCTCTCTTGTGGCTCAGGCTGGGAAGCCCCTGGGCCGCCTCGGGCAGGAGGAGCTAACGGCAGCTCTTCTTCTCGCAGGGAGCCCATATCTCTGGATTACTACAACTGTGTCAGGTTCTTCACACCACCCAACGGTAAGATCTCCACACCAGCAAGATGGGTTCCTCCTCCAGCCGCCAGCCTGGCTGTCCCCTGGCTCCAGGGAGCCCAGGAGGCTTTTCTTCCCTACATCTGTGCGTTATTGCCGTAGGGCCCGAAGCACGCGTGGGTCCAGGAGGCACGTTCATTAAGGGGTGTAGCAGAGCCGTGAAGCCTGAGGGATGCTCAAGCCCCGATCAGTCCATCCAATCCATCCAGGAGAGCCCAAATGCATCCACGGCTCTGATTGCACAAAACACTTTGTTCTTACTCTGTTTCGTCTCTGGGCAGCGGCAAATTATCCATTTCTTGGGGTAATGAGGCCATTTTCGTGCTTGTAGCCCAGTCTGGTTTGGGTGAGCAGAGGTTGCAGCCTCGTGGGGTCCTGCCCAGACGCGTGGGAAAGGACATGTCCTCGTCCAGAAGCTTTTTGACAAAGGGATGCCTTCAAATATTTTGTGTGCTTGGATTATAGGCTAGCGAGTGGAGGTGGGATGAGATAAATCACTCCATTCAAATGCATCTTTTCCAGGCAAATATTGCATCTATGGAATGTTTTCACCTCCCGGGGTACTCAGCATTTTTCTGCGCTGACTCAGACATCAATCTATTTTTATCAAGAATGATTTTCAAAATATGAATCCTATTTTTTATTTAAAGAGACTGGGGAGAGAAAAAAAAATATTAAAAAAAAAGGAGAAAAAATATCTTGTTTACCAAAAATATTTACCTTATTCTAAAAAAAAAAAAAAAAGGATGGGGAGGGAAAAAAGAGAGAAAGTGAAACCTGGATGTATTAACATGAATTTTTTTGTATCCCTTATTATTTGTAATGCCTTTTCAGTGGCTGAGGACTACCTAGAGGTAGTGTGTAGCTGTTGCAGAGCTGCTCTGTGTGGCTCGCTTGGCTAATGCCTTCCTCCCTGTGCCCGGCGTGGTTTTGGGCAGCAGAGCCCTCGTCCCTGCAGGGACTGCCCGTCCTGGCTGAGATGGGTCAACCTGCCGTGCTTGGTGCTTCTCCCCTTCAGCGAGGTTTTGGAGACGCGGGGTGGGCAGCAGCGGTGTTACGCTGCCTGCAGGCTTTTCCAGCTCGGGTGCCGTAAGCGCACCGACCGTTGGTGGTGTCAGCATCGGTGGATGCAGGTTTTGAGGTTTAGCGATATAGGGACTCACGTGGCTCAGCAGCTCACGGGCCCGTCCAGAGAGCTGAAATAACCAGCAACAGAACAAAGAGCTTGGTTTGGTTTGTTGTTTGTTTTTTGGTGTTTTTTTTTTTAATTCTTTTAAGCAGATTTTGGTTCTAGAAGCTAATGGATTTGTGTACTGGGCTCAGACAGATGTTGTGCTTGGACTGGGGCTCAGTTCCTTCCCTGAAACTGAGAATAAGCCCAAGAAAACACCGCAGTCACAAGCTTAACGCTCACTGGGAAGGAAAACCCCCTCCCGACTGCTGCCCTGGGCTGGGAGCCTGGGCAGTCACCCCTCGCCGGAGCCGGCCCTCCCCCTGTTCGCCTTAGGGGCTGCTGTAGGGCTAGTAATTGTGCTTATCGGGTTTTATTCCGACATGTAAGAAAAGTCATGGTGCCCCAGGTCCAGCTTTGGTCGCTGCCCTCGGGTGGCTCTGTGGATGGTGCCGTGGCCGGAGAGGCTCGGCCAGAGCTCCACATCATCGGTGACGGTTCTCCTGTGGGGCAGCGATCACCCGGTTCAACTGCGCTGGGGATGCCCCATCCCTGGGTGAGCTCAGGCTGTCACCGAGACTAACGATTTTTTAGCTATTATCTGTTTTGTTGTGGGGAACAGCCCTCTCCTGCAGGTGCTGAGGCATCTTCCCAGGTCACCTATGCTTCCTTAAGCTCTTTGTCCCCCCTCTTTCTTCTCTGCACCAGAGAAAGAGGAGGATTCCCATTCCTATCAAAACGTCGTCATTGGAGTGTCTCACAGCTCCGATCCAGGTAGGTGTGTTGCTGTCGTGGTCCGTGCGTGTCGCACAAAGGTATCGGGAAGCGCAGAGGGACAACAACCCGCTCAGCAGAGGGAAACCCTCCTCGTTCATAGGCTTGGCTCTCCCTATCAATGGTTGGACTTGATGATCTTAAAGGTCCCTTCCAACCTCAATAATTCTATGATTCTATCATCAGCCCCATGCCGGTGGAGCGGGGCTGCCGGGGCTGCCACAGGCACAGAGCAGATGTGCAGCATCTCCCCTTTCTGCAGGAAAATGCACGTGGTGATACCTTATCATCTGAGCTCACCTCCGAGCTGATCCCTTTGATTAGGAGATTTTTGCAGCAACTCAGGAGCTTTGGGGTCTGCATTGCTTCTCTAGGTCTTTCGGTGTTATTACAGCTGAGAATGATGATGGTTCTAGCCCCCAGCTCAGGTTTCTCACCACATCCAGGCAGTGAGCCGCCGGAGGATGATGTTGGGCCACAGTGTCTGCTTAGGGGCCTCCAGCTTCTCTCCTGGGCTGTTGCAATCAAAATAGGAAGTCAAGCTGGTTTCCTTCAGCGAATTAACACACTTTCTGCAGTGCTGGAGCCTGCCCTGCTCCTGCCCGGCTTTGTACCGGGCGATTAGAGGGGGCAGGGGCAGTGGGGACCAGTCTGATCCCCGTCCGTGCCCGCAGACACTCAGGCGCGTGGTCAAGGCTGGAAAAGCGATGAGGCAGCATCAGCAGACCAGGGGCAGGACGGCAGCCGCCCAGCTGGAAACTCAGCCACGTGCACGGGGCGGCCAGGGGGCGGCGGCAGGAGGGGGGTTTCACAAAGGTCCATTTTTAGTCCATTCGCTGTTCAGCATCATCTTGTCCAAACTCTTCTTAGTCACAGATGACGCTGCAGACTATGAGAACAGCCCGGCGATACACATCTGGAAACTCCAGCATGCGGAAGGTATGCTCTCAGCAATTGTTTACTATTTAAGGATGGGGCTCGTGGGCAGGGTCACCAGTGCAGACCATGCTCAGGGCAATGCAGCCATCACCCCCGTCTTCAGTTATTTTTTCCCCAATCATATGCGATAAACGTCTAAGGCAATGTGCAAAATGCTACACACGCTTGTGATTGAATGCTGCTCTGATGGGCCGTGGCGTTTCTGGTACCTGAAAGGCCACCACGGAGGTGGCTGTGCCGAAACCCGGACCATGGGATGCTCCAGAAGAACAGCGCTTCTTCATGTCTCGTATCCTCTTACGTTCTGAAGTTGCCCTGGCGCAAGCTCAGCCTTGTAATCCCCTCCGACAAAGATGTGCAGCACGCACGTCGAGCGGGTCAGCCGACGGCTCTCCTGCAGTAATCGGGGGCGCGTATTTCTTAAGCTAACCTTTAAACAGCAGTTCCGTCTAACGTGTGGCTTCCTGTGCAGCGCAGGGGGTGCTCTGGCCTGGGAGATAGTGGTGAATGTATACATATATATTGAAGAGCTTTCCGTCTCTGGTGTGGAAGCTGCCTAAGCAAACTGATTCTTGTTATCCTGTTTGCGCACTCTCTTGATTAAATCGAAGTCTGCCTCTTTTGGCTCCCGAAAGCCGTCCACGCCAGCTGCTCGCACAGTGTTTGCAGATTTGCTGTGACCACTTTGAAGCCCTTTCAAGGAGACCTTCACGCTGTGATCTGAGGTTTCTTAGCCAAGGCGCAAAAACGTGCCGGCACCGAAGGCTAAACACTGGCAGGACGCACAGCGTGTCTATGGTGTGTATGTGGTTTAGGACCACGCCGCTTACTGACCAGTGCTTCCCATCCTCGCTCCCAGCCCCGCAGACAGAAAGCCCAGACGACGAGCCAGACTACGTCAACGCGGCCCCTGCATCAGGCCCTGCCCTGCCGTCAAAGCAAAGGTAAAAAGAGAGCGAATGGCCGATGTATTCATTTAGGGGTGGGAGGATTGTGTCTGTGCCAGAGAGAGCTCTGCTGGAGCTGTGCCCCTTGCTGGCGGTGCCCAGCAGCCCGCTCCGTGCCGTGCCAGGGCTCTGCCTGACGCCAAGCCTGACTAACGCCAACCGTAGAGACAAATTTGTCAAAGTCCATGTCCCAGCACCACCCTCCTTCAACAGGAACTCAAAACCACTTCAGAGCAGCTTCGGGTGGCGCTGCTAGGTGCTGCAGGCAGGAACCCCCAAAGCCCTCCAGTCTGCGCAGCTCAGAGGCTGAGCGGCGTAAGGGATTCCCTGGGCTTGGGCGAGCCCTGCCTGCTCCGCTACGACCGCATATCCTGCCCCGTTATCTGCAGCACCCCGATGCTGGTGATAAAGAATTACTCGAGGCAGTTAAAAGTAAAAACCATCTGCGGAGAGCTGCAGGGAGATCGCATGACACTGAACGAGTGGGTGATACAAGACGGTGTCAGTAAATGCATGGCGATGTATGGAAGAAAAGCAGCCCCAGATATACCAAACACAGCGACAGGTTCTGCATCGGCTGTCATGGCTCCAAACAGGCTCTCGGAGGCTTTGCAGAGAGCTTGCAGCAAATGCCGTCCGAGTTCTCAGCAGACGAGTGTATGTGGATCGCTGGGAAAGGG